CTTAACCAGCCAAATGCTTAACCAGCCACATGCTTAACCAGCCAAATGCTTAACCAGCCAAATGCTTAACCAGCCACATGCTTAACCAGCCAAATGCTTCTTGTTTCTGGTCCTCACGCCTTATATATCTTTCTGCTTTCTACCACCACTCTCTGGGATTAAAGGCTGGCTTTCTGGGATTAAAGGCGTGTTTCACCATGCTTGGCTATTTCCAATGTGGCCTTGAACTCACAGAGATCCAGAGGGATTTCTGCCTCTGGAATGCTAGTATTAAAGGCGTGTGCTATCACTGCCTAACTAGTGGCTTTTCTGTTCTCTGACCCCAGATAAGTTTATTAAGGTACACAATATTTTGGGAAACAAAATACCACCACAATGATATCATTGTAAACTTTTTGTCTCATATGGCTTTGTTTGGGCTTGTGTGTGTGTGTGTGTGTGTGTGTGTGTGTGTGTCTTATTGGTCTTTTGCTTATATATTATGATTTCTACTTTTGTATTTTAGTGGGTTTTGTTTTGTATGTGTCAGTTTCTTGGCTTTCTTTTTCTTCTTTCTTTTTTGTGTTGGTTTTTGTTTAGCTGTTGGTTTTACAAAGAGGGAAAGAAAAAAGAGACATGGAGTTGGGTGGATAAGGAGGTGGAGAGAATCCGGGGGGAGTTGGGGGACAAAAAGGTGTGATCACAACATACTGCATGACAAAAGTTTTTCTGTTGAACAAAGTTTACATTTTGAAGCCAAAATCAACATTATTAGCTGATGGTAACATATTGAATAAATACTTTGAGGGGAAGGAGACATCAAAGATGCAGCTATATTAGTGGAGGCACCTATTAGTAAAGCTTGAACAATAAGAAATGATCAAGTTGAGGAGACCTCAGGTTGATTTTAAAACCTTAAACTTTATTCATAGCTGATAGCATTATTTTGAATTAAGAGATGTATGGCATGATTTGTCTTAAACTCATACTCTTATTTTCTCATTCTAATTTCTTTTGACATCCAGGCTGAAGAGATGCTGAAAAAGTACTTTGAGTCCAAGGAGGATGTGGCTGAAACACTTCTAAAGACAGATCAGTCACTCACAGAAAAGGAAAAGGAGATTGAAGGTGAGGGCTGCTGAGAAGATTCCAGATGTTGGAAATTATTGCCATGTGCTGCAATTTTGTTCCATATGAGGTTATCATGGTAGAGAATGACAAATGTCAGTCTCAGCTTCATGGTGGCTGTTTTTAAGCCAGTAGATGTGGCCACCTCCCTCCTCGTTAACTGACTGATAGAGCAAAGATTCCACAGGAAAGTTTTGTCAATGACAGGATAATTTTCCCAAGGTGGTAAAAGACAAAGCAGATAAAAGATTTCACTTGATGCGTTCTTTGCATTTTCTTTTGTCAGCTGAACGTATAAAGGCTGAAGCTGCAGAGGCTGCAAACAGAGGACTGAAGGAAATGCAAGATAAGCTTGAGCTGATGATGGAAGAGAAGGAAAGGAGTCACCAGGAGCATGTGAAACAGCTGACTGAGAAGATGGAGAAGGAACGGGAGGAGATGAAGGCAGAACAACAAAGAATCATATCCCTTAAACTTCAGGTATCTGGCTGCACCAGTTTAATTTTCAGTTTCTGCGTCCAGTCAACAATGTATATCAGGAACCGGAGGCCTTGGGCTCACAAGGCCAAGGCTTGACTGGATTGTGGCTGGAGACTCTGTGCCCCCTCCCCAAAATACAAGGGTAATAACACAAAATCCTCTAAAGTGGAGTGAATCATTCACATTCTCTGTTTTATTTCCAGCCCCTCACTGCTTTTTCTCGGATCCACCTCTGGCTATTTCAGGCTGTCTATTGCTAGATGAAACCTTTTATCAGGGTGTCTCTATTAAACAGTAGTTTTGAATCACAGATTCTCTTCATGTGTTTTATAGAATTTCTGTGACCAAATCTTCAACTAACCTGTCAAGGACTATTTTTTTCTCATGTGTTACATGGAGAATTTGTACTTTCTACATGCAAAATGACTCTTTTTTTTTTGCATCAAACTATATGATATAATATCCAACTCTTATCTTTTCTACTGAGTGGGACCCATAGAAAATTTGTTCCCACTACGCCTAGTCAGACCTTATCTCTGGAAGTATCATAAAGAGTAGAGACAGTCCCATACCTTCAAGAAAAATGCTCACATGGCCAAAGTATCTGTTTTCTGAGAATCCCTCCACATCTGTACCTAGGTTCCAGGGCTGTTAATAGAATGGCATGTGAGCACTGAGGACCCCAGTTGCTTCAGTATATGTCACCCATGTCTTAGACACTAAAATTTTGTACATGTCCTAAATTCCTTGATTGAATGTTTGCCCTAATTCTGACTCAGGTAATGACCTTCACTTGGTTCTTTACTCATTTTTATCAGGTTTTAGATGTGTTTGAGAGTCCACACCACACAGATCAGAGATGAAGCAAGAACGAAGAGGGTAGCTGGTTTTGTGAAAATTGTGTTTTACCTGAGTCAAAGGATCCAAGAATTGGACCTGAGAGTCGTGAGCCACTGGTGTTCTAGGAATTGTTAGACAACATTTCTAAAACTGGAGAAAGCACAGAAGTTTAATGCCATCTGTAGGAGATGGGGAGGAAATATGGATGATAAAGAAGGAAAAGATTTTGAGAAAAATATCAAAGTTCCCCCAGGGTTAGGTATAAATTTTAAAGGAGAGTCTGTGAGACCCCCGAGGAACATGGGAAGCTGTCTGTGTTCACAGTCTCCATCTCCATTTTAGGAGCAGGAACGGCTTCTCAAGGCAGGATTTGAGATTGAGAGCAGGAAACTTCGTGAAGAGATCAAGGAAATCAAGGAGAATATGACTTCATGCACCATACTCTAAAATTCAAACCAACTAAACCTCTGTACCCAGGTCTGACTCATCAAGGAATTTTCTGCGGGGTCAACTTTGTACTGTGAAGCAATTTGACACTGAACTGTACTTGAAAGCATTGTGCTGTGTTGGGAGGAGGGTAGAAATAAAATTAACAAAATGAAGTTTAAGTATAAAAATAGCGTTTTGCTTGTGAAGTGTTTCGGTTCATGTTTGTATTAGAAATAAAGAGCAATGTGATATTTAATTGGATCTCATATTTGAAATTATAACCATGAACTCCATAGAGATATTAAATTCTATCATTGGATTTTTTTTTTTATAGCACAGTGATATGGCAGGTCTCTTTGGGTAGACCTTTTTGTCTCACACACACCCTTCTTGATATTTTTAGCTGCATGCTCATAAACAATTCAAAGATTTAACTTTGTCCTAAGCTGAGATTGACATTTTGTAAATGTGAGAAAAATATGAACATACCCATAGGACACAACTGTTCTGTGCTTCTGGGACTTCATCATGTCTACAGACAAGGGAAGTGTGGGCCTTGATATTTGTTCTAAGTATAGACATGGGGCATTTCTCAATGTGGGAAGGCTGTATGACTGCTGCATGAGCAGAGAAAGACCACTGGACATTGGCAGAGAAAATTTCCTGCCATGCAGAATACATGTGTGAGTGGAAGTTTCCCTTCCTCTCTTTAGAGGCCTTCTTGGCTTGAATCATGCTCCAGCCAACTATGTTTCCTTTCTAATCTCCATCTTTTTAATATTTTAAAAGTTTTTCTCCTTCTTACAGTTTTAGAATGACTTCTACCATCATAGAATGGGGAACTCAAAATAAATTCTTTTCTATTCTTCCAAGGATCATGACCAGAGTCCCATTTGTCCTGAAACTCATCTCCATTTTAATCTGTGTTGTAGCACTATGACATAATTTGTAAGTCTCTGAGGATAAATGACTTGTTCAAAAAACAGAAGTACAGGTTAAGTGAAATCTGTTAATAAAAATGATCAGTCTATTGTTATTGTTTCAAATGTGTGCTGTACATTGTTCATGAAGTAACAGAATCCTCTTCTAAATTCAATAAGAAGGGAGTTAATTTGAAGACTGTTAGCCGTCACAGTCTCCCAATGATGAGAGCATTGGTTCTGCATCTAAACATTCAGAAGAAAAGCACCACACAAGGAAAATGTTGAAGTTGTGGGTGTAGTGGGTAGCCATTCCAGCTTGGATCTGGAAGTTCCAACCCCCATTGAGACTCTGGCAACTGTCACGCCTACGAGGTGGGGCCAGGGGAGGCTCCTGGAGACTGGAGAGCTGGATGGGCCAGCGCTCTCTCTGTGAGCTCTCTCTGTGCCTGGACGCTGAACAGGGCCAAGCAGAGCTCCAGAGAACACCACAGGACTGCGATACACCTTTCCCAGACCCTGCGACCTACCTATCAGTTAATTTATGAGTTACATCATTAAATAAATATCCTTTTAACTACGTGGAGTGGCCAAAATAATTTCACCAATATGTGGGTCTCACCACTCTCATGGAATATAGAAACACAAAAATACTTTCTGAGTAATTCTTTTGCTGGTGCTGGTCAACCCAGGACTTTGGCAGACAGAATTCTGATGAGACATTAACGCATAGAATAATGGCAGTGGTATAGTGTTTCCTCAACATACTTTTGAGTGCACACTGCTATCATGTGGGCTTGTGGAAATGGATCAACACTTGTAGCTGGAAAATTAAGAATTGGGCCCATTGTTTGGTTTGTGTTAGGTCAGATGGGAGGTTTTAAGTGCTAGTCAGTGAGGAGATCAGCACAAGGGTTAATTAGATGTCTCCCAAACTTCAAACCACCATTTCAGATACTGTTTATAGCTCCAGTGAGGCTTGTCAGTGCCATGGCCATTCCCAGACTGCGGACACAGTCCAGAGGCTCACAGACATCTCCAGAGGTTTACAGTTGGCAGTGCCTTGCCTCTGAGATGTTGTTTAAACTCGGGATTTAGAAAAGGACTCTGACTCAATTGTCTCTAAGGAAACATGCTCCAAAGAAGACTGAAAAACCCACCCCAGAGCTTAGGAACACACATGCTGTGCAGACACTGGAAACCCCTAAACTTAATCACAAGCACAGAAATCCTTTGTGTTTACCCTTAAGCACCACATTGTTCACAAATATTCAAGTGGTGCTAAATTGTATGGCGCTTGTATATTGTTAACAGATTTCTGTGGTGGTATTGTGTTCCCCAAAATATCGTGTACCTTAATAAACTTATCTGGGGTCAGAGAACAGAAAAGCCACTAGTTAGGCAGGGATAGCACACACCTTTAATCCTAGCATTCCAGAGATAGAAATCCCTCTGGATCTCTGTGAGTTCAAGGCCACATTGGAAACAGCCAAGCATGGTGACACACACCTTTAATCCCAGAAAGCCAGCCTTTAATCCCAGAGAGTGGTGGTAGAAAGCAGAAAGATATATAAGGCGTGAGGAC